GCAATAAATTAAAGCTGCTAATATCTATATTCTCCTAAAAATTATTTCACAGGATGACAACGGGGCAGCTCTAGTGACCAAAAAAGACTCCACCTGGGTCCAAAGTGGGATTGTGAGTTATGTGTATGATTATTACCTCGGTCGACCTACCATCTACACTCGTGTGTCCCAGTACCAGAAATGGATCAGCGACAGAGTCACTGGCATGGAACCAGGCTTTGTTACCTTCATCTCCCCAGGCAACGACACGGACTTGAACTTCACCTGTCCAACTCTACCACCTACCACAACAACTCCTTATCCTTATTTCACACATTACTATAACTTTACCACTGATGACAGCATATTTGCCAGTGGTAAAGCTCTGGTTCCCATCACTCACTCCTTCTCTCTCTCTGTTCTTGTTCTGCTTCTCCATGTCTTCTTTGGTGGGGCTAGAATCTAACTTAGCACTTTGAGTGACCTTTAACTTTGCTTTGACATGTCAGATAGTTACACTGTACTGTTCTCTGTTTACATGTGGTAGTTTGCTTTCACAAAATTATATTTCTAATAAACAGATGAAGGTTGAAATATATTAAGTTACGGATTAGATAACAAGATCAAATAAATATGAAAAGAAATATGTAATTTCCATTTCTCTTTATATTTAGTTTCATGTGCTATTTTTTTAACATTAACAGTAAGTGCAACTTAAATCTGTATCTTTAATTACTGGTTATTGATTTGTGGTGTTTACCTATCAATCATAAGGCTTGATTCTCAAATATGTAACAAAAAAATTGATCACTGATAGATTGAAACTGGATTGTTTTTTTTCTAATAAAACTATATTTCATCAATCATTTCTTTATCTTTGCATTTATTACACAAAACTTATGATTTTGGATGGGGGCAGGGGACAACAACAAATGTACCCAGTCTCTCTGTCTAAAGGAATTTACTTAAAAGAAAATATACTTTCTAAAAATTGTAAAATGTCATGAGAAATAAAGCAGGACCTTGGTGGCATTTCTGTTAAGTTCAAGTTTAAATGTAGAATGCTTTACCATAAACAGCATGCTTATACGATACACATTTAACTTTGATGCAGGGTGTGCAAGGAGAACATTTTTGCACTCAGGAAAAGCTTGAAGATAAGATACAAAGACTGGGATTAACATAATTATGAGCTGCACTCATTATAATTATTGCTGTGAAGCAAATAGTGCTTTAGAAGAAAGGATATTCTTGGGCTGAAAAAAGGATAGTCTTGGGCTGAGTTAAGCACCACGTACACCGTGCGATTTTCAGGACGATTTGCCAGAAATGCGAGAATCTTTCGATCAGGACTTTCAGCCTGACCATAAGTCGCATAGTGTACAGGGGGTTACGAGCGGCGGTCAGCCTCCCACGACCACCATCATGAGGTTGGGAGAATATCGAACATTTTTTATTGTCTTCCGACCGTTGTGGGCAAATCCCTCAGGGCGCATGCGCAAACAAGGATTCTTCTTTTTATTCCTCCTCTCAGATGTAAACACAGCAGCATGGCAGGGATGCAATGAGTGAAATGCAGCTCTGTCTGCAAAATTTACGGACCGCAGCAGCCACGTTTGCTCAACCACGTCCTTTTTCCAAATACGTTGTCACCTTTTCTCTCTAGGACCTTCAGCACAAAATTGCACAAATTGCCAAGGCAGAGCGGTTCAATATAGTGACCTTAATATACACCTTCTATTTGTTTGGCTTCATGATAAAGAGCTACAGAGCAGCTCCATCTCACTGCGGAGCTGAGTCTGACGTGGTTTTTAGTCGTGCAGTGTAAGCAGATAGATCGCATGAGAGCGTCGGGCCGAACATAAATCGTGAGTTGTGACTCACACTGTACGACTAAACCCTGCGATTAGTCGTACAGTGTGAGCAGCAGCTGCGTGCAACGATTGAAAAAAATCACAGTGTACACCGGGCTTTAAAGCCTAGTCAAACAGGGCAGCTCCAGCTAAATGTTTCCCAACAAAGTTTGTTATTAAATGCAATGAAAATGTCTAATTTGCATTTTTTACCTTTTTCAAATAAACGTCTCTTACAGCCTTTATTGGCCAAAATACAGAAAGAACTAAATATCTTATGTGTTGTCATAATTTTTTTACTACACAAAGAGCAAAACTTTTTTGACTACATATAAATTACTGACAGAGTTTGCAATGCTTACAGTAAAACAACCTGTTGTTGATGAGGTGTGTCAAGTGGGAAACTAAAGGCTCAAAGGCACTAGAACAAGACTGAATCAACATTCTTCAGTATAATCACATGACTGGAGGACAAGTGAAGGAAGTCCCAATCAGTCTAAACTGATTTCAAATTATCATGTTCACTTTGTCTGTAGTGTTTCAAAAGGGTGAAGGGGTTTCAAGTCATTACAGCTAAGACTGAATAGTAGAAAAACAGTTGGAGCTCCAAACTGCACAGCACTACATTTTGCTGGATTCCTGTCAGTCAGGGTTTTTTTTTGTGTCTCTAGTCACCTAAATGAACTCACTTTGCCGCTTCTTCTCCATTTAGTATTGAATTCAGTATATATTATTTCACTAAAAATAAAGCATGCAATCAGTGATCTATTTACAGTCATGCATTTTGCAGACATATTATGACCCGTTTCCGTAATAATTTGAGTCTAACTTCCGGGCTACGAAAACACCATAGAAACCAAACTGGTGTTGTCTGCGAACTTCACGATTTGATTGGTGGTGAATCTGGGGATGCAGTCATGTGTCATCAGGGTCAGAACAGAGCCACAACTGAACCGTGCCGAGCCCTACTGTTGAACTAGTACTAGATGTAGCGCGGTTTGGTTGTGTCTGGCACGGTCCAGTTTAGGTGCTTTCCATTTACACTCAACAGTTATATCGGTTGACGTGCTTGGACTGTTCTCGGCATGGTTTCAAAAGGCTAGTGTAAATGGGGTATCTGTCTATCAGTTATTAATCACCACCCAAAGAAATCTGTCTATTTTTCATTTAGATGTTACTGAAATAAGAATGAATCTGGCCTGAGTGATAAATCGTTCTATTTATAAAATGACCACAAAAGACCATATGTTAAAATAAAATGGTACCTTTATTGGCTAATAATCCTTATCACAGTATTATTATATCTAATAATAACTACACAAAAACTAAACACTACTGAAAGTACAAGTAAATCAAGCAAAAGGGAGGTTTAAAAGTCTGTTTAAGAGTCTCTGAGGAATGTTCAAGTTTTAAGGCTGAAAATAGCAGCAGATAAATATCAGTAAACCCTGATGCAGAGATATTAAAGCAGTCAAAACAGTGAAGTTTTATTCTGTTTTACAGTTAAAACTGAACAATGACTCAGAAATTAAAGTGTAATGAAGCTGAACCAGAATGGGTTACCTTAGCTGGCCCCAGGACGTCCGGTTTGGATGGGTCCAGCTGAAATAAAGGAAAAGTTAAAGCTCACAACATGCTCGCAACAATGTAGCCGGACATGAGGTAGCTTGGAGCTAACGATGCTAACCAGTCAACTGTAGCTGGTAACACCATGTTTTTTTTCTTAGTCGGCTCGGCGAGCATTGGCATTCAGTTCTGAACTCTTTAAACCATCAGCAGTTGAATCAGAACGTTTCTTTCAGATAAAACACAAACACACTGACAACTATCTATCCTACCTAGTTCACCTAAATAGAGCGTGATTAAGATGGATGTTACTGTTTTGGCTCGGTGGAATGGAAGGGATTTTCCGGCTCAGTTCTTTCTGGCTTGGTGAACGGACAGGACCCTGTCCTTAGTCCAGTCCGTTCATTAAACATGCAGCTCTCGAAATGATTTGGATCATTCTGATGCAATAGCAAGAGGAATCTTTGCAGGGCTTAATTTTATAACTCACAGTAGCCTTCAATGGGATGTCTCCCTTAAGCTACAGCAGTTAGCTGGTAGCCTTGGCTCAGGCTGGCTGCAACACAGGTGCAGGCAGCAGCAGGACCAGTGTGGCACAGGTAAACGGCTTCTAATGGCTCCTCGACAAACAGCAATGGGGCAAGCTATTCCATAGTGCTAGTGGAGCTGACCGCAGGTGGGATGTTCTGCGAATGACTGATGTGTCACATGTTGGGATCCATGAAGTGTTGCTTTGCAGGTGATTCGTGAACAGCAGCTGACCTGGCAGGTCAGAACCAGTTCTATATTCTAACTCTCATTTTCTCAAGATCTAAGGAATCATTTTCTGGTCTTACTGTATATCCTGAGTACTAATGCTGACTTCTGAAAAAAGATTATTTTCTGAGTGGAGATTGGTTTTCTCTGAAAAGAGATGAACCAAAATGGAATTCTTAACTGGTAGGATCTGGGGACATTCTGGGGGTTTACCATATTGAACTTCCTTTCCCACTAAGTGGATTAAAGAAATGGTGGAGGAAGGGTCTATGTAGTGCTGCTGAGGCCTTCGGGCCAGGTTCCTCCGGAGGATCGTCACGTTCAGGTGGTGGTTGAGAAGGGTGGGTGATCTGACCAACAGCTTGTGCCGAGTTTCTTTTGACAGAAAACCATTACCCAATCTGACTGTATGATGTGATTGAATTTTGTCAGTCACAAATTGAACCTAAAAATAAAGGTGTTGGTTAAAAGATACAACTTCTGTAGCTGAAAAGTTGTAGAAGGTACAGCTAATTTGTGATAATCGTATTAGCCCCTCTCCCACATTAGGATAGGAGTTCGGAGGGTTGTGTATTTCGTTCTATAAAATGTTCAACACAAACCATCTATAATCTCTCTGAAACATCCGAACCGTCCTCAGAAACAGGCATCTAATTCAACATGTCTATCTGCATTTCTCATTTGCATTACTGCCTTACTAATGGGTGTAGTGGTGTAAACGACTTTAAAACATACAATTTCCCCTAGGCTGTAAAAGCAGCAATTTTCACACCATTGTTGAAAAAGAAAAAGGTGCAGAAGTACAGGTCCATCTCAAACCTCCCCTGCAGCAGTAAGAATATTGACAAGGCTGTGTTTCAAAAGGTAAATGCTTTCTTAATAATGACGGTTTACAATCTACAGAGACTACCCTGATTTTGGATCAATGACATCCATATAAATTCAGACTGTGGAAGAACAACAACAAAAATGTTGGTATTATTGGACCTCGGTGCAGAGTTTGACACTGTTGATCACTCAATTTTAATAGAATGTCTGGAAAACTGTGTCAGCCTTTCATGTACATGTCCTGACTGGTTTAAATCTTACTTGTAGGACAGGGACTTCTATGGGTCAGTAGGACAGAGACCAGAAAAATCACACGCAGGGTTCCTCAAGGCTCCATTGAGGGGCATCTATTGAATATAAGCAGAGTTGTTCTAGCTTGTTGTGATGTAATTTTATTGCGCTCAATGATATCACATAAAATAGTGGGTAAACCTGGGCCTGATATTCCCGCTGTATGCTGATGGAAGCCGAACCCCTGCATGGCGATGGAGACCACTACTCAGTAAAACAGAGGAAGATTGATCTTTGTTTTTCCTAATTATTTCATCGGCATATATAGCATTTGAAGGCTCCAGCTTTCAATAAGGACAGCATTTAACAAAGGTGTTCACACAATTTTATACAGGATGGAGGGGGATGGAGAATCTTCTTTGAGTCCAACTCCAAAAAAGCAGTAGGGAAAGACTTAAAAAGAGACCAAAAGGCAGAATGCACCTCTTCTGAAGACAATATATGGATAATGCAAAACCTCTTAAGAAAAGTAGGATAAAAATAATCATAGTTGACAGTTCAAAGTTGGACTGGATTTCTAGGCGCAGCCAAGGACCGGAGGGGTCTGGTTGGGGAACAG